AACAAAACAGCAAATATCATGATATTTCTACATAGGGTTAGTGTACTCCTGAAGCTACGACTGACCAACTATCAATTCATGCTTATAACAATACTTTTTGGCTTTGGATTTGATGGTCAGTATGAAGTGAAGGTAGATCTCTTTCAGACGAGTTTCCTGTTACTACTAATCCATACTGTTCGCAACATTTCAGACTTTTTACAAGTCAGTATTTAAGTAACTGAAATCTAAGCAGATTCTAACCGTTTATGTATCACTGTCCAAATGGTATGTAAATTACCACACAAATAAAAGTCCATTGGAGTGTTTAGGACACCAGAAGCTACAAAATTACATCTGAATTAATAATATCACACAAGGGAAAGGATGGTGTTTTTCAGAATTGCCAGTTCCAGTAATTATAATTAATTTCACAACAGCAATAACAGTCCTGAGGTTCCTCTGCTGTTCAATACAAGAATCTGTCCTTTGAGCCATGTGACACTACCTCCTCTGTTCTGCTATAAAGGCACATATTGTCATTTGCCCTACAGTGAAGTGTTTTGGTTAAATCTAAAATCATCTTCTTTCCTGATCTTATATCATGTACCCAATTGTGACCATGACCATTATTTGTTTTACCTAACCACAAAAACATAATTGGCATCAGTTATTCCCGTGATCTTGGGTAGTTTATTAAATATTGGTGAGTACTATAAACTAAAGCTGGAACTGAAGTGTAAGTAGAAAATCAGTCTTACTATCTACTGAGAATGTCATTTTGCAGTTTCACAGTTTCAGTTTAATCTGATGAACATTTGAAGACAACAGTTTTCATATGAAACAAAGGTTCTTGAAAAGTATATTAACTTTCAGTATGTAAACAAGTGATAAGACAGTCTAAAGAGATGTGGCAAAAAAATCTCCATGGTCACAAGAATAACTTTTTGTTTCAAGGTGGATTCTCTATTACATTACCGATTTTAAGGATTTGTATACATCCTGCACCACTGTCATGGCATAAGCCAGCTATAAGTTATAAGTGAATATATTATAGCACCTAAGGTCTCTATTTCAGCTGAGGAGAGACGATGGCGAGATGATATCAAAGTTCATCACGGGGCATTTTCAGAGCATGATCACAGAGGTCTGCAGAACACACAGGACACAAAAGTGCTGGATTAAATACACAGTTGCTACATGCAATAATATAGCGACAACTTACCACTTTTGAAAAATCGACTTCAGTTATGTGTTTAACAAAGAAGGTGAGGTGCAAATGTACCTGTCCTCTTGCTGCAGAGTTTGTCTTTGACGTTATCTGTCTCATGGGCAAAGAACTCGATGATTTCATCTTCATGCTGCTCAACAATCGTTTCACACTGGAGAAATAAATCACAATAAACTGTTAGTCTGACTCTGTGCTGCAGTATATGGCATGCGATTTGGAGGATAGGTTGCAGCACACAAGTACTTCTAATTCATTGACATGTACCAGTCAACTCAATACAATTTCTTGAATAAACAGAAAACTCACTGCAAATTTTAAACTGGCTGTAACTCTTGAATCCAGTGCGGCATCTGAGAGGTCCATGGCCCCACTGGTCCGAGATTTGATCCGTATGTAGAACTTCCTGTTTGTGGAAGGATCCGTTTGCTCCCCGTAGTCCTCCATCCTCTCGCACACACTCTCCATCAGCTCCAGGAGGTGTCCCTCGGAGCGAGCCAGAGGAACCTGGTGGCACCAGAGGTTGTGAAAAACCCTATATTATAGAGGGTGTGAGGTTTCTTTCCATGCCAACATGACAAAAAACATGTAACACAGTTAATGTGATTTTTTTGTTTTACATTTTCAACTATATGTTTATTAAAAATCATCTCACTACTTTATTTTGTGTAACTTAACCAAATATGCTGGGGCACTTTATTCATCTGCATACCTGTTGCTATTTTTTTTTTAAGGACGTTAGATAGATAATATTGTTTTCGACATTGTCTGAAACATCTTTATCAACGACAGTTCCTATTAGCACTGAATTAATACTGACCAACACACGTTTGAAAAGCCAACCTCTGCTTTGAAAGCAATGTGCTGCGCAGAGTGGGTTTGACGCAGATCACTACGTGGCTGTGCTGCTGCAGCCTCACCTCTCTGATGGACTGGCTGCCGTCCGGGTTGATCCTGAAGGAGCCAGTTTGGACCATTTTCTTTGGATCTATCTGAGAAATGGCCCACTCCATCTCATCCACCAGAGCCCTGCAGGCTGTGGAAAGCAGAGGGAGAGGACAAACGCATTACGATGTATCCATACGTGTGCTGAAGCGAACCTATTTTCAGACAAACACATACCTCCACATCTGATGTCCTGTCCTTGTCGGGCTGCCTGGCTGAGGCTCAGGAGGAGACCCAGGACCACACACGGTGTGAGCAGCACAGCAGCTTCTCTCATTATGGATCTAAACATGGATTTCAGCATCACACAAGCTGACCACAAACCGACAAAAGAAACCAACCAAGCACCTCAGTATTAAGTCAGCCGGTAACCTCTTAGCCACCGCTAGCTACAGCGACCTGTGTGTCCGTCTACGAGTAACTTAGAGAGTGAGGCACAAACATACAGTTTGCTTAACTTTTCACTCAACCTACATGCATGTGGCAGTGTTTCTGAAGAGCACCTTTACGATTTTCCACGCTGTTCAATCGCATTCGGTGAAATGTGGTGACGTAGGCAACGCAGCTGCTGGACAGGATGGAGTTCAGCTCGAGACAGCGCCCCCACGTGAGCAGGAAGATTATGACGGCGTGCCGTTACCATGACAGCCCAGTAAGCTATCAGTGTAACAGTTCATATGGTAGGTTAACTATTAAATTCTAATTTAAATAAATAAATAGATAAATAACAATAATAATAATTTGAATGGCTGGATTAACCTCCTGGGGCAAAGTTTTGTTGTTGGGCCCCTGCTGATGTTCTGCCTGAAAATCACTTGTAATTTCCATCCATCCCTCCATTATCTATACTGCTTACCCTTAGGAGGGTTGTGGGGGAATTGGAGCCTCTCCTAGCTGAGTCTGAGCGAGAGAGGGGGTTCCCAGTCTATCACACTTGGAGTCAGACAACCACGCACACCCACACTTACTCCTATGGGCAATTTAGAGTCACCAATCAACCTAAGCTGCATGTCTTTGGACCATGGAAGGAAACTGGAGCACCTGGAGAGAAGCCAGGCAGGAAAACTGCAAACTCTGCACAGAAAGGCATCAGGTCAGCCAGGGCTTAAACCCAGAACCTTCTTGCCGTAAGGCAACAACACTAAACACTGTGTCACCATTCCATCCCCATTTGTAATTTATCAGATGAAAATATATTGCTTTTTCTTAGCATGGTGTTTGGTCTTAATCTGTAATTCTAAATTCATTAGACATGATGTTACATGATAGGCTATGCATGACAACCTATACACCTCTGAACAGTGAACTGAATGGCCACATTTGGTACAATAGGTTGTATCTAAATGAATTTCAGACACTAAAGAAATTGTAACACAGAAAGAGCAACATGAAGATTAGGTTATGAGGGAGTGACAAACCTGACATACACTCCATAGATGAATTTGTCACTAAAAGAAAAATCAAAGATCTGAAAACAAAAGGAATGTAATAACTAAATATTTAATGTACATCTTCTTTTTATTCAACAAGAAAAATATTCAAATGCAACAGAGATGGCAGATAATACAAAAAAATCCCCCACCTTTTTAGGAGGATCTCAATACTGTACCATACTATACAAATTCATCAAAGAACCTGGAAAGTCTCTGATTTATCCCAAGCTGTCAGTGTTTCCCAAATTCAGACAATATTCTTTATAAAATTTTAATCCAGAAATCAATTAAAAACATGGAACAACAGATGTCATTGCCATGTTTTTAACTGATGCCACTGGAAACAAGTTTATAACACAGCCAGGTCACACAGTATGATGTACACTTGACCATCACTCCTCAATCAAATACCTACAGCAAATATGTTCAGTAGCCTTTGCACAAGAGTCTAACCTACATCATTTGCTACTTTTTAAGCATTGCTTTTCTGATCCCAGCAATGGTCCTCCAAACTGTGAAAATATATCACACAACTTGAAATGTCAGCATTGGTACCTTAAGTTACACCTCGGCTCATTTCTTTGTCATTGATTCATTTGTTTAAAAGAGGTGTTTTTCACAGGAGTGAAATTATAAAAAAGGTCTTTTGCATAAATGTTTGGTTTTTATTTGGCATGATGTCATTCCAATTGGAAAAGTGTTAATTTAAGCAAAGACTGACTGAATTAGTGACATCAGTAGTGCATTTCTTAATGGAATATTATGCAAATATATATTATAAAATAAATACAAATTCTGTAGGAAGTATGAAGGCAAATTAAATAATAAATAAAAGAAAAAATATTCAGAAACTAAATCAGTCTTCTAAAACTGTCCAAGTAGATAAACATACCTAGAAGCTGCCTGTTTTTTTTTCTAAATGTTAATCATTTGTAGTGAACAAGTTCTTCTGACTTGTGCTAGTTATTTTTATTCTGATTAAATAAGTATTAAATTTGGGGAGTTTGTAATGTTGGAAATGCTACTGCCAGCCTGTTTAAATGCAGTTTAAAGTAATTCTAATTAAATTGTTTAATAAATGAACTACAGTTGGTTCTGGTATTAGTCTGAATTTGTTTTTGACTGAATAGTCTGCTAGGGATCCTGTACACGAGGCTTCACAGGAGTGAAATTATACACTGTGGTGAACACAGGAGGCACTGTGATGCTCCGCTCAGTTCAATATTTGGTCAAGTAAAAGTTTTGATTTATTAAACAGCCCAATCCATTACTTTGGGTACACTCCGAGGTGTTTTGTGATGGAGTTTATCATTATTCTTAATATAATTTAGTCTTGTCTGGAGTCTTCTCTGAGCTGTTTTTACGTGTTTCATTTTTTAAAAAACACTTTACAACATAGTTTTTTTTTCTCATCAAGTATCACAGTGTCACAGTCAGAGGCATTTGCATTATTAGCACTCTGTTACAAAGATAACATTTGTTTTGTACAATTTCAAACTTCCCCTGACACAACAGTCCCATGCTTCACCGCATGACACACCTCACTTCGCTCGTCATATTTACCATTGTTTGGCAACTGCCAACACCACCCCACCACCAATATTCATTTAATAAATGAAATACTATCTTGTTCTGTAACACTTGTGCACACATTGCAACTTTGCACACACATTTGGCTTCACCCCCCCTCAAGAAAACCCCTTTGACGCTGTTGTTAATTCTGCAAAATGCTGAAGCTAAACAAAATCAAAGAATGTAAAACTTAACAAAACTAAATGAAATTAAATGGAAAAAAAGAGAAAATTACATAAAAGCCAAAGGAGAATTTATAAAACTAAACTAATCTAAACACATTTTAACACAAACAGAGCTTAATGGGAAAATTACATTTAAAAAAAGAACAATGAATAGTAACACAAGATACTAAATCAAAACGCTGTGGGAGAAGTAACAAGTCAGAATACAACGGCAACGCTAATAGCTCATAAATGTATTGAACGGGACAGCATATTGTACATGTGCTAGAAACATACATATGTTTTATCATGGAGCTTAAAGTCTGAATCTGTCTTTTGTGATGATAGCACAAGAGACCACTGAAATGTTTTCACATACTTCATTTACTGTAGTAGCTTTAGTTTAAAAATGTAGTTTTTATGATTGGTTTTAAAAAGATACGGAAATACAAAAGTGTACATCTCCAGGAGCAAAATGCATTTGAAAAAAACGGTCCATAAATGTAACACAGTGACAAAAAACATGCCATTCTCTTATAGTATCAAACACACAAAAAGTGCATAATCATACACTGTATAAATTGCCTGTGTAATTTCAAGTGCTCTGTTCAAATTCAATAAATTCAACATACAACAATTTATCAGTCTTGTATAGAATGGAGATGAATATTTTAATTCATTTACATATAATAAAGGGCAGCAGTTGGTCCCACCAAAGGCAAAACACTTGTTAGGCTTTTTTAAAATTTCCATATGAAAAAACATAACCCAGATTCAATCAGCTCCACAACAGATGGGCAAGTCAGCTGTGAGTCTGAACTGATGCCTGTGGTCATTGAAAGGTTTAGAATAGTCGACTCACTTTTTCTGACTGGAAAGTGATCATTTCATAACGGTGGTCTCTGGTTTTCAGCTGTCAGCATCTTTTACCAAAGTTAAGAGGTTATTAACCTGTTGTGCCTCATTCGAGACAAGTGATTTGGAGACACCAACAGAGACAAACATGATATTATGGACCTTGAAATGAAATTATCTTATCAAAACCATGACGTAGTTCAGTGTCACTAGAACCACATTTTCTACACACAGCTCCCTTTGGTGCACAGATATTTAACCATTATTTGCATAAACATTATTCATGAACAGACCCGCAACAAGTTGTTAGCGGAAGTTGCTGAGACATTTGATAGAATAGGATCATCTGTTCCTCTGTGGGCGTACTACAAGAACACTTTAAAAAGACTAAGGTGTTGAGAGGTGAAGACAAACACGTACTGGCTGAGCTTCAGCGGTCCCACACCCCAGTCAGGTTGTCCACCAGTGTACTCTCCTCACTGCAATTTGACATCCACTTAGTGTGTTCTATGTCTCAGCCACAGCATCCATGTCGTTCAGTAGGTAGCCGTCTGTGTGACGGGACAGGCCCATGTGCACCTGAAGGACAGAGGGAGAGAGAGAGAGAGAGGACTTATTCATGATGATGTGTACAGCTAGTGAAGTCACTTAGGATTCATGAGGACAACCTGATTGAAAACAAGTGATTTTGCCACTGTTTGTTTGGTTCACAACTGATTTGGAAGTTTTTATAAATGATTCAAGTTGTAGATATTAAGAAATGTATTGCAAAATTGTATATCAAGGCAAAACACTGCTGCTATACCCTGTGAAAACAGCTGTTACTGCACCTCATGTTAGTGGTTTATTGTAACTTAGGAGACATGCAAAATAAAATATCTAATTAGAGAAAACTTCACAATCAATGCTGTGTTTTGATCACATGTAAATAGGGTCCAATCAGTTCACAATCTGAATTTGACTGTTTATAATCACTGAGGAGTTACAGGTGCTCACCTTGGGTCAAAGCGCTACTTTCCAAATTCAACTTTCCTCATTTAATCCTGGAAAATCCTGGAAAAAGAGCATTTGTACTATATATATATACACACTATATGATCTGACACCTACCCCAATAAATTATAGGTCAAATCATTTTAATTATACATTTATGCCCTTTGACGTCCAGTGAATGGCTATGGAGCAGAAGAAAGGTGTGTGTTTGGGATAAAAATAGGTAAGTGATTTATAAATGGCAACGTATGAGGATTATACCTGTTAAGATGAAGTAAACTAGCATAGGAGGACAGGCTTAGTAAAAGTGTTTAATACATGCAGCAGGCATGTAACCCCTATACTAAGCTTCCATATAAATGCTCTCCCATTCTTTGGCACATTTAAATGTGTATTATTGACTAAGCAAAATATATAGTTTCATCTTCTAAGTATTGTGTTGGAACCCCTTATAATCAAACAAATTTGTATATTTTATTTTCAAGTTAACAGAGTAACTTAAAGCTACTCTGTGCTGAAGTTAGCAGGTTGTACAGTGAGGCCAGTTATCACATTTAGGATCTTATTTACTGCACTAATACAGTGTCAAGAAGT